GAGGGACAGTCCCAGCGGGAACGGCCGCGTGTGGCACAGGGTCCGTGCCACTGCAGCCCGCGGGGGCTGCGGGAGCCGGCGATGAGGTGATGTGCACCATGGCACTCACCCTGGCATGCCAAGAACAGCACGAGCTCCTCCTGCATCACGCCACCCTCTCGCTCCACGTTCAGCAAGCCCCCACAGCTCGCTGCCGTGTCCGAACCCCCCAGAAGACGGACATTCACGGAGCTGGAGACAACCCGTGCGACAGCCCGCTGCGGGTACCCGGGAGGGACCTCCCCCTCCAGACTCGGTGCTCGCCGCCGCAGGGACGCGGGCAGAGGCTGAAGCAGGATTGCAGCGAGCTGTTCCTGGGTCTAGAGCATCGCCCCCACCCGCTTCCCTCTCCAGCCTCCCCGTCCCACCGCACACGTGCGCCAGCAGAGCACAGCGAGCAGCGTGGCACGGCACACGGGCATCTGCACGCCAACATGCACACCCAGGTCAGACCGAAAAATCGCTGCTGACTGTTTTCCTCCACCGTGCCCTAACGGGAGCAGCTACACTGCAGCTCGGTGTGTCCTTCTCCACCTCTGCTCTGCACCATCTCCTGGGTGTTATCACACCATCTGGTTTGATCTCCCCGCCCAGCACCAAGATAACAGCTCCGCACTTCAAGGGGATGGGGAAACGGGGAGAAGACAGCCGAAACCGATGGCCCCAGCTCTGCCCTGCAGCCCCCGAGGCCAGGACACGCACAGCCGCCCACGCTGGGTTTGGCATCCGCAGCCGGATAAACCCACGTGCGGGCAGCGCTGCCCGTGTGCCCGCCTGACGCACGGGCTGCAGGTCCCGTGTCGAGAGACAGCCGGCCGCGGTTGAACATCGTGCTGTGAAAAGGCAGATCGGTTCTCGGCAAAGACACGGGTGTCGGTGCCTGAGCCCAGCTCCAACGCTGCTCGTGCAGGCGGCACTGAGCAGACAAGAAGGGCACTGGGACGGACGACATCAGACCAGGAGCTGAGCCCAGGACCCCCCTTCCTCCGACTCTCTTGGCACCAGAGCAGAGCCCAGAGGGTGCCGGGGGGCTGACAATCTGCAAGAGACACTGAGCATCGCCAGGAGACTCAATGGGGGCAACACCGGTCCCTCCCCACAGGATGCAAGCGCAGGGCAGCAGCAAGCCCTGGGGGGGCACAGCACGGGGCTCTCGATATTTCACTGGTGTCTCACCGCAGGGCTGCTCACGCCGGGGCTGCAGCGCGGCCCCGCTGCAGCAGCGCAGGTCACAGGGCAGCGAACGGAGGCTGCTTTACTCAAGCAGAGCTCTCTAACCTGTCCAGGGTCTCGCAGACCAGCTCTACTGCCCTGGCTTTGGGCACAGGAGGGATGCTTCAGGGGAGAGCCATGAGCGAGTCAGCTCTGGCAGCCACCAAAGATCTAGAGAGAGCCCTGTTTGGAGCTGGCTGTGAGGGCAAAGCTCCCCTGGGACTATCTGACACATCCTGTAGCTGGAGGAGATAGCCCCCTGACCCCCTTGCCTCCCAGCTGAGGCTTTCCACCCTCCCACCCCTCTACAGCAGCTACCTCCCTGGTAGTTTTGCATGGGAGGGGGTAAAAAGACATCCTCATCTTCAGGACTAAAATCTGCCCTCGACTTGCAGGGACCAGGACTGCACAGAAACCGGCTCCCCCTCCGTTAGCCGATGCACTGGTTTCGAGTCCTTGTGCATCACCAAAAGGCGTTGGCAGAGCTGCAAGCGCACCCTCCGGTGCGGCCCTCCTCTCCTCGCCTCTCCTCTCCTCCCTCGCCCCAGGCACTCGCCAGGCTAAGCTGCCCCGGGATTCGGCCTGAGAGGTGCGGGACACAAATCAGACAGCGGAGAGCAGGAGTCAAAGGGCAAGAAGGAGCCTGCATGCCATGGAGACGAGTGGGGCCAGCACACACCCAGAGAGAGAGGACAAAAACCAGCAAAGGAAAAGGAAGAAATACAGAAGAGAGTACTTACAACAGAAAACAGAGAAATTTCACTTGTTCAGTAGTCCTGATGCACCAAAGCATGGACAGGGAGAGAGACAGACAGATGGAGAGAAGAAGAGCATGTGAAAAGACCTGGATATTAACTCTCCTCTGGAGAAGCACAGCGAGTTGCTCAGCTCTGTCTTTGCGGAAGGAACACACAGATAAAGGATGCTCCGACCCTGCCTTTGCCATTCGCGGCGGCAGGGTGCCGTTCAATCACAAACCCCGCTGCCGGGGAGGCGAGAGCCTGGAGCAGCCCGAGCTGCTCCGAGGTGACGGGGAGGGAGCCCGACAATCCCCTGCTGCCCCCCCTCACCCCCAGCGCCTGCTCGCCCGCGGGCACACACAAGA